CCTATTTCAGGGATGTTAAGCACACATACATGCCCAACTTTTTTTTTTAATTATTTTATTTTACTTTATTTATTTATATTTGACCAAAGAGGGTCAGAGAAAGAGAAAGCAAGTCACCAGTTCTGAGACTCGAGCTGCAGTCGGTCATATGGGAGTCCAGCACCCTGAACCACCACGCCACCTGCTGGCCCAATGCCTGAAATGTTTCTCAAGTCACTGGGTCCAGGACTCAAAACACACAGTTGGCTATATTGAATCCAACTGCTTCAACCACCATGCATGGAATGACACAAAGCTACTATAATTAGACACAAAGATTATAGCTAAACTTCCTGGACATGAAACTAACATAAACAAAATTAATCAGATGGCTTTTACAACTCATGTAAGTTTATCACTTCAACAAAAGAAAAAAGACTTTTTAGCTATGAACATATTTGTCATGAGTTATTGCACTGCACATGTTAAAAAATACAAATAATCTTCAATTATTTATATGTACAAGTGCTTCACAAAGTGATATGATCATATGGGCCCTCAATGAAGGGTTTGTTTAATACTAAATTTTAGTTCTTGAGAGGATCTCTATGAGAGGAGACAGGTACTGTGGAGGGCACAAAATTACTGTCCCAGAAGATAGTTGTTCTGAGCTTCTGATCATCTGACTTTATATTGGAAGCCATTTTAGAGATCTTTATGCTAAACATATTCCTTAATTTTATCTAAGAGAATTTATCTCTGATGTATTCACAGTAACTGCAAAAGCCTTTGAAGAGAAATGGAAAGAGTAATGGTCCTAAGTGAAAGAGGCAAGATACCGATTACAAATTCAGACATAGCCAGACATATTTGAAAGGCAAGCAGGGAAAACCTGCCTAAGGGATAAGGACTGCCAAGGTGAGGATTCCATTTAGAGGAAGGGACATTAGAAAGCCTCAACCTAGGACCAGCAGTTAGTGTAATGGCTATGTCGCTGAACTCCCACGTAGTCGACCACCGTTCGAATCCCAGACCTGGTGGCTTAAACACACGCCGGGCGTGTGTGTGTGCGTGCCCAAGATCCCAAGAGGAGAATGGAGGAGAAGGGATTGCGGTGTGACCATCCCCCCTGGGGGGTGATTTCTCGCTTTCTGTCTCTCTTTCTCTCTCTGTCTGGCTGGCAAGCGCACGTGCCCTAAAGCAAAAACCTCTCAAAAAAAAAAAAAAAAAAAAAAGAAAGCCTCAACCTGGTCCAAGGATATCAGGTCAGGCAGAGTGATTGACAGTTTGCAGGGTGTGTTCCATGCAGGAAACTTTCTTCTCCACCCGTTCCATGCAGCTTCGTCAGTCCTGGGGAGACAAAGAAGTAACAAAGATACCTTTTAATCCTTATGAGGTATGCTAACTTTTTTGCCCTGAAATGTGGATAGTTTTACTTAAACAAACAAAGCCTCAATTTCTTCATTTCATGTAGCTTAAAACTTTCTAAGAATTCTGCAAACTGTCGGAAAGATCATTACTCTGGCTCCTGACACTGTAACAATTTCATCCTGTGGCAACTTTAATACAGAACCATACTATTTTCTCAATAATCCCCTTTAGTCAGGGCTTTCAGGAAATTTTGCTAGAATTAGCACCTTGAACTGAAGATAAGGGGGTTTCTGAAAGAGGTCATATAATATTGTACTGTCTTCCCTTACTACATTCTTTCTGCTGTTCCTTTCATGTTCCAGGTGTTTTCCCTTTCTCACCTTTTATGATCTTATGCAACTTCTGTTGTTTGAAAACATGCTGGGGGGTCTCAGTCTCCACTCCAATGGAAATTTATCCAAATATTTCTTTAAAGCAACGTAAGAGTTATCACTGAGAACTTATGTAAGACTTTGAGAACATCAGCAATATAAATGCTTTGTACCATATAAAACAAAACGAAATGGAACCCAGACTTAGAAGTACTAATAGGACATTTCCTCTTCTTAAGAGAGGTATTGGGAGCAGAGAATTGAGCTGTTCCCATTAGCAATACAAACAGCCACAGTGGCCTAATGTAGACCAGGTCACGTTGGTGTGACAATCAGAAAACCAGGATTTATGAGACCAGTAGGAAGTGAAAAAACAGCTTCCCTTCTCAGGTGTTGAACTAGCGGTGCTCTCAGGAGCAGTAGACCCACTGCAGCTGCCCTAACAGAGGGTCAGAATTGAGGTGATCGGGGGAGCCACAGCTGCAGTGCCAAGAGTGGGAAGGAAGACGGCTATTTTGCGTTAGACGGGGTTTGCATCCGGCAGTAAACACTAAACATTCCCTGGGGAATTCCTGAATTAGTCAGAAGGAATTTGGATGGAAGCTGGGGTTTTCACAATGGTGCAGATGAGGGCTATGTCTGGAAAATGGTATTGTATCACTTCTGTGACGTTATTTCGCTCCTCGGTTTGATGCAATCTGAACAAACACAGGTTACACCTCTAGGTGCAATGCAATTAGTCAAAGCCCTCCTGCTCATTTCAATAAAACGCATGCCTTCTTTCACAATTCACGAGCAGATTTGAGTACTACTACACCTTTTATCTGAAAGAGTTCAAACTCTGCTTGACAGTGATTTTCTTACAGTGTCAGAGTCCTGTTCCCTTCGTTTCATGTTTATAGCTAGAAGGAAGACTGAAAATAATAGGGAAGGCCAAAGGCATGTGAAACATTTGGGAAAGTTTAGTTTTATTGCAGCACGCCGTGTGTCATTTTTCCGTATCTCCTTTGTTACTACCTAGATATTTCCCGAGGATTAACGTTTTAAAACTGGCACCAGGAACTTTGTAATTATAGTGTAACTAGTGTCTGGGGAATAATTACTCAGTTTATAAATTACTGGCCTAGCCCTTTTCCCCCCATCAGTAATTCTCTTTCCAATTTTTTTGGCATTTGCTCTAGCTTTCATTATTATATGTGTGGTACTCACTAAATAGAAGTTCTAGTAGCTAATAATTTTGGATAGTTTCCAGGTTCTGGGTGTTTACATATCTCGTATCTTTTAATCTTGAAATATGAGGGGACTTCAAAAAGGTTTCATAAAATGGAATTCAAGTACAAGTTTACATGGATGCATTTTTTGGAAATCTATCCATAGTGTATTTATATAAAATACTCAGTTTTTTTATATATATAATATATATAAAATACTCAGCTTTTATTTTATGTATTATATATATACTCAGTTTTGATGAACTTATTGAAAATGCCCCATAGTTGTATTATTACCCAACTTTGTAGTTAGGACCTAAAAAAGATTGAGTAAATTCTGTAATCTCTCATATGTCATAAAAGCCAGGGCTAGAATTTCAAACACAGGTTTCTGTGGTTCCGGAGATCTTACTACTCATTGCTATGCTGTATTGCTTCCTCAGGTTCAGAAACAGGAAGGCAATTGATGAGAAACAGACAAAAAGTAGTTTTACATGTTACCAACCATGGTCATTTTGTAGGATGCCCAGTTGGGTAAGCTGGAACTACATCTCCTATTCCCTGTATGGTTGGCAAGAGAGACAATTCCGCGAGATTTGGAAAGCAGAAACAAAGGAGGCTGATGCAGGGACTGACACCAGGCACTGGCAGATTCTGGCTTGCTCTCGTTTTCTCCAGTCTGTGCCCACTGCTCTTCTTAACTGCTTGGCATTTTCTAGGAGAAACATGGACTGGCATAGAGAGAGTGGCTGCAGTATTTTACCTAAGGGAGCAGTCAGCAGAGAGTAAGTCAGGGACCTGAGAGGAAACCATTTTGCTAGACCTCATAGGAACTCGACTTTTACTGAGAACAAAATGAGAAGCTATGGGTGGTGTGCGTGGTGGTGGAGCTTTGCAGGACATTAATGTGATCTCGCTCACCATTTTAAAGGCTTATGCTCTGGTTCTTGTGAGGAAGGAATCTGGAGTTACAGGTGAGGCTAAAGCTACCAGTTAATATTGGGAACTCTCAACATATAAACAGGAGTATTTAAGAATCAGTATTAATGACAAGATGAAAAAGTGAGAGGACAGAGACCTAGGGCACTCCGATTGTTACTGAGGTAAAAAAGAAGAACCAGCAAAAAAAGACAGAGAGGAAACATGGGAAGCAGGAGAGAAAAGAACATTTTGAATGCCACGTAGAAGGAATTACATAAAGAAGAGAATGATCACCCTCATTAAATGATGCAAGTAAATTGAATAAAATGAGTGATAAAAACTGACTGAAAATCATTTAGTTTCTTACAATTTAAAAAGGAACCTAAGTAAAAAAGTAACCAGATGGCATAATGTTTACATTGCTGGACTCCCATGTAGTCCTCCACGGTTTGAATTCCGGATCTGGCAGTTTAAAACTCAGGCCGGGTGTGTGTATGCACATGCTCAAAATCCCTAGAGGAGAATGGAGGAGAAGGGATTGTGGCATGGCCATCCTCCCTGGGGAATGATTTCTCACTTTCTGTGTTTGTCTCTCTGGCAAGCATATGCACCCTATAGCCAAAATCTCTCTCAAAAAACAAATGACAAACAAAAAACCCTAAATTACCAAAAATATAAAAAGAGGACAAAATGTAACAAGCAGTGTTTTTTCTTCCTTAATATTACCTTTCTTTCTCTTTGATTGAAACTTCTATTCACCTGGACTTAGCCATTCAAAGAAAGCATACCTATGCAGTGTTTTTAAACTTCTTTTGAAAGAAATAATCCCAATACTCTCTGTGTTCCTATAGCATGTTTTTCATATCCCCATTGTGATGTTTGCTATACTACATTACAATGTACTTCATTTCTTTTTCCCTTTGCAGAATGTAATCTTTTAGGAAGCATGTTCTGTGTGTTACCTTTGTATTCTCAAAGTTTGGCCTACATGAAGGGCAAAGGTTTAATCAGAAATAACATTTTCCATGTACCTAATATGCCCCAAACATCTTGCCAAGAAGTTAATATTTTCACACTAAGCTATTCTGTATGATTGAAATTTTATCTAATCCACTAATTTTATCCTATACTTTAAAAATTATAAAGCTTGGGGCTGGCAGGTAGCATGGTGGTTAAGGTGCTGGACTCTCACATGGCTGACTGTGGTATGAGTCCTGGACCTGGTTGCTTGCTTTCTCACTTTCTCTCTCTCTCTCTCTCTCTCTCTCTCTCTCTCTCGTGAGTAGGTGTGCTCTGTAGCAAGTTAAAAAATAATAATAAATAAAATAAATAATTCTTTTAAAAATTATAAGCTCTGGCTTATAGCATCTAAGTAGCACATACACACATATGCACACACACAGATGGTAGAACTGGGGTTTTAATCATATTTTACTTCAAGGCTCAGTTGCTCATTCTCTCTCTCTCTCTCTCTTTCTTTTTTTTTTTTTTTTTTTTTTTTTTTTTTTTTTTTTTTGTGGTGGGTGTGTTCCATAACAGCTATAGGGCGTGTGTGCTTGCCAGGAAGAGACAGAGAGACAGAAAGCGAGAAATCATACTCCAGGGGGGATGGCCACGCCATAATCCCTTCTCCTCCATTCTCCTCTCGTGATCTTGGGCACACACACACACACTCCTGGTGTGAGTTTAAGCCACTGGATTCGGGACTCAAACCGTGGTCAGTTACATGGGAATTCAACAACATAGCCATTACACTAACTGCTGATCCCTACAGTCACTCATTCTCTCTAAATTATACTGAATGAATAAATAAATGAACAAAGCAATGAATACGCAGTACTGTAACTACTGGAATGACTACCTATCCTAATGATGCTCAGCCCCTCAGCACATATGGAGACATCACCTTGGTCAGCAGCTGCTGCAGTGGCAAAACATTAATTTCATCATCAAAACCTGAATCTTCATATATTGCTTGATTATGCTCAGTGTTTTACACAAATAGTTTTCCAAATGTGAATAAATAAACAAATCACGTATGTAAGTAAATAAGCAAGCAAGGTAAATTAAAGGGATCTCAGTCAGTGGCCTCTTTACAGTACTACAAGTCCCAGCCTCTACTTTCCCTAGCAGGCCGACTGGCTCATGAGCTGCAACTTAAGTATCTTGGACCACTCTGCTTTTATTTCTAACAACATTCACTTATTAATAGCCCCTACTTCTTGTAGTTTAATTTCCCTCCAACCTAGATGCTGGATGATGTACCTGGTCCTCCTTTTGGGAATGAAGACCTTTCTTCAAGAGCTTCTGCAAGAGCTATTAAATTGAAGCCCTGAGGTCATGGCCTCAAATCACAGAATGCCTGGGCTATAGAGGTCTGCCTTGCCCAAGATCACACCCTTCCCAGGACTTTCTTGTGTCCACTGATTGACTGATAGGGAAACATAAAGGTCCACCCTCTCTCTTACACGCAGGACAACTCTAAATGGTCATCCGTACAACTCCCGAGAGGACTGGCTGAGACATATTCTTAGACTCCATTGCAGTCCACTGTGTTCCTCTGTCTGAGACTACCTCCTTGCTTTTTCCTTCCACAAGGCAGTCCTTAATTAACCTCCTGCCTGTGGGTCTCCATCTCAGAGCCCCGTTCCCAGGGAACTCAACTTTTGACACCCTTGATTTAAATGCTTAACTTTTGGAATCATTTATATTTTCAGCTGGCCCTGCTTCTGATCCCAATTATATAGAAATGAAAGGAATGAAAACTTTCAGCTGAAAAAAAAAAAAAAAAGAAAACTAATATAGTTGCAAAAGCATCTTCAGGACATGAATTAAATGTACTAAGAACTGATAGCTCTATGGACCATCTTACTGCCATAGATAATGGACATCTTTCTGCTCTCCGGGGTAAATTATGCCTTATTTTATTCCCTAAAAAATTAAAGCCAAGAAAAATCAGTTTTAAGCAGAAAATTACCACAGACAGATAAAAAATTATCTTACTTTATCTAGACCGTAAATTGTGTAATAAGTTACCATGGTACTCAGTCCAAAGATTGTTTGAGTCATAGTTATGATATCATAGGCTTAAACATTTTTCTTGCCTTTCTGTAGTCGATACTTAACCAATCAGAAAATATTTATTGAGTACCTACTATAAACCCAGCAGCATCTATCTTTCTTTATTTCCCAGAGGAGAAAAATAAACTTGTTCCATCAAATTTGAACTCTCACTCCATATATTAACAGAATATATTTAAAGTGAAAGTTCAATAAGCAATCATCACAGTGTTTGTATAAACTTGAAGAACATAAATATCATCAAAACTGATATTCTTCCATTAACACTCAAAAAGCATATCTTGATATATAACAATAATTAAATACAGAATTGATGGCACTTACCGAGAGTGACCAGGCATTTAATAGACTTTCTAATTCTTAAGGTTCATGTTATATATTGTAGAGCATACATGTTCCAAATAAGTTCGAGCTGCATAATACAATTAATGGTGAATATAACTCACCTCAAAATGGTGCCACAGGTGAGCGGGGTTTTGATGGTCTTGTTTCTGAACACAAAGCAAAAAATATTGACCCTATTACGAAGAATAAATATCAATAAAACAGCAGGTCTCTGATAAACAGATATAATTACCAGAAGGATCTGCCTATTTACACATCAGGACTGCTGTCTTCATATATCTTATCCTGATACATAATTATCAAATAAAACAGTAATTTCTGGGTAAGTAATAGCAGTCACACAGGGTACTGCATGATTAAATATTTTCATCTTGGTGGGAAGACAGTCACATATAATATCCAACAAAGAATCACTCTGAGTCTCTCAACAGTGACTACCAAACTGACAAGCCAATCAGAAGCCATTGAGAGGGTATTTCTCTCATGAGTCTTAGATGTTTTTCACTGTAGTGTAAAAGACCCAGGACTGTTCATTTTGAGACATGTTTTTCTCTTCTTTAACTTTTGGTTTTGGGGGTTTCCTTTTGTAAAATCAGAAGTCCTTAAAAGAGTGAATTTGGCACTGTGACAAGAACTCCCTTTGCTTTTCAGGCAACTCTCTCGGATCCTTTTTCTTCCAGTGCTGTGATGGGCACACTAAGAACAGCTTCTTGCTGAGCTGTGCAGCTCCTACAGATGAGGACAGCAGGAGACCAGGCAGATAGCCAAGGCGGAGAGTGAGAGGAGCTGAGATCACAGCCAAGGCTGCAGAAGGAGATCTGCTGCATAAAGGCAGAAAAAGCAAAAGGCCTGCTCTGAACCCTAAGGTGCTCCTTAAAGCCTGCTGGTTTGAGGACTCGCCCTCAATTGACCTGGACTTCTATAGACTGAGAATGAGCTTTGTTGAGATGCCTGGTTTGGAGTCACAACTTTGCATCATAATAGGTTTGGTAAAGTCTCATGGGTAGAAAGAGTATGCAGGTGTATGGAGCCCCTTGGATTGATTGATAGGCCTCTTTCTAGCTGTCATTCAGAAGACTAAGTTCCTTCATTGGATGAGATTTTGGTCAGTTTCTCTGCAAGCCACTTCCTTTTTAAAAACTCTTTATTGTCCTTTAGGATTAGTGCCACTGTCCTTCAGCCTGAGCAAGATGGAGCATTTCAGTGTCACTCACCAGTCAGTCAAATTGTGACAAAAGGCAGTTCTTTCCTGTCAGGATCTTTGAGAGGTGGGAGACTCTCAGCAGGGGCTCCCTTTGCTGCACTTAATGCTGTTGGTCCTGAAAAGAAAGAGTGGGAGAGAGCAGGAAATTGGACTTAAGTCATCTCCAAAGCAGTGCAGAGTTCAACCCTTGCTGGTGTTTGTTTATAAAATAGCTCTCTAAGTAATTCACACTCTGTTTCCCATTTAACCTCTTGGACACGTGGTGTTCAACCTACCGCGTGGTTTCGCTGGAGTTGTTCATAAAAGTGCTGAGTTTGACACCGACAGAAAGGAATTTGGGGTCAGAATTACTATTTTAAACTCAGGCCTTTGGGATTTATAAAAGATGTTTCCGATATGCTAAAACAGCTGGAAGAGGCTTTGAGATCTGTAGTGTAAGCGCAAGGCTCCCTAATTCATATTACAGGTGAGGGAAACCAGGCCCTGGAGGCTGGCCGACTCTTCTGCCCCTTCAGAGCTCCTGCTAACATCTCACCGTCTCTAAGGCGTGGAAGGACTGCAGGGAAATAAGCCCCTCCAGGGTCCCCAGACTACTTCCAAGTGGAAGCTTTTCTGGAGGGGAGGGGGAACACCCTGTCTCTCCTAGTCCCAGTTAAGGGTGTTTCAATCTTCACCCGATAAAAAGAGACATTCAAGGTCGTTAGCTCAATTTTCTTCTCTAAGGGTGGAGCTCAGATTGGCTGCTGAGTTATTCCTATGACCCAGAAATTACAGGTATTCATTTTTTTTTCTTTTTAGATAAAAGTATTTCTATTCCCGTTTTTCTATGGCTCTTTTTCAAGGGAAGAGGGTGAAAAAAAAAGTCCAACATCTTTGCCAGCAGACTCTCCTTTTCTATGTGCAGTCTTTTATAATCTATCTTGATTTTCAGTACATTCCTTCCTCTATTTTTTTTTTTTTTTTGTACTTTCTGTCTTTTAATCACCTAAAGAATCTGACTCAGTGTCCTTCCCTCTGGATCACAAGCTGAGCTGCCTTCATCTGTGTCTCCCAGGAGGGGAGGGAGGGGCTAGAAACCTTTTTTCCTATGTTGGCTCCTGCCCTGACTATATAACTTCCTCCTCTCTCCCAGACCTCTTTTGGGCTGTTATTCATCCCTGAAGTTGATTGAAAAAAAATTTTTTTATGTAACAACAGGAACATCTGATACAGCATCTCATTATTAAAACAGCTAAGAACTTGTCTCATTTATATGTGCACACAAATATCCAGAAATATGTTTATGAATGTATATACCTACACAAATGTATATCATATAACATCATGGAAACCTGTCTTTGATTTTCTTTTAAGTGCAATAAAGGCAAACAAAAATGAAAAGGAAAAAGCAAAGTAAGATTATTTATTTGATCTCTGATTACCAGAGGGCATGGGTGAAAGGGAGAGAAAGCCCCCCCCGCCCCATGGGGCATGATCACATCACAATCCCTTTTCCTCCATTTCTCCATTTCATCAGGATTTGGAGTTAGCAAGCATATGCTCTGGTGTGTTTTTCAAGCCACTGGGACTGGGATTCAAACTGTGGTGGAATACGTGAAATCAAGTTCCCTGTCCATGTAGGACTTAATTGCATGCTATGGGGTTGGCCTGCAATAATTGTTTTTTTTTGTTTTTTTTTTTTTTTTTTTTTTTTTTGTCACAGGGCACATGCACTGGCCAGGAAGACAGAGAGAGGGAAAGTGAGAAATCAACCCTGTAGGGGGATGGTCACACTACAGTCTTTTCTCCTTCATTCTCCTCTTGGGATTTTGGGCATTCATGCAACACACACACACCTCGTGTGATTTTCAAGCTACCAGGTCAAGAACTCAAATGACAGTTGACCATGTGGGAATCCAACACCTTATGTTCAAGCCATCTGCTGACCCCAGTAGATTCATTTTAATAGGTTTTATTTGGGGAGAGTAGGGCAAGTATATGATAAAATATTTTCTGTTCGGGTTATATCATATTGAAAGCCCTACTTTTCTTCTTTTTAAAAGTTATTTTATTTCTTTGTTTCATGAGCGAGAGATGTAGAAAAGGGGGCAGAGAGACAGCACTCCCAATAAGTTCCTGCCCTGATCCTGACCCAGAGCTCTACCTCCAGCCTCATCTAGTGCAGAAGATGGTCATGGGCACACTGAGCATGTTCAAAGGTCTCCAGATGCAAACCTAAAACCTTCCCCTGTGGGCCAACCTCATGGATCATTGCCTTTTACCCCCATGCCACCCTTTTGCCTAGAAAGGCCTTTTTATATGTGCCCTTTGCTTGAGATCTTGGTTCAATAGATATAAAATAGATCTTCTGTTGAGAAGAAACAGAAAATAATAGTCACTAAAGCATGATGAAAGTCATTCCAATGTAAAAAGCATCAACAGAAGGGCTAAGACCAACCCTAGCCCCTTTTTAGCCTGTGATTCTATAATCAGATTTGTGGGAAGATTTCTTTTGGGAAATAATCTTTCTGTTCAAGTTCACATTTTGTTTGCCTTTAAACACTAGGGTTTTTTTTTTTTCTTTTTCTATTTTCCATCTTATTCTCAAATATATTAGTTTTGCCAAATGTCTGAAGGTTTATATAAACTAGCGATTTTGACAAACTAGTCTCTTCTAGGATGGCATTTCTTGCTGCTCAGACAGTGCCTGGCTCTGGATTATGTTTATAATAGTGCACTATTTTTTTAGTTTTTCACCAAATAAATAAGTGCTAAGAAATGCAGTTTTACACAGTCATCACGATAAAAACATAAATTCCTTCTTACACTGGCTGCTTACTCCCCTTATCCATGAATCTCAACATATGAAATTTCAATAGCAGAAATTAAAATCACAATCTTAACTTTGTATACATTTTTCAAAGTATATGCATCTAAGGGCCAGGCAATGGGACAGCAATAACACAACAGGACCTGTATGAGGAAGGTCTTGGGTTTGCCTCCTGGAACCTCCCTAAGTATGCTGGCTGCACATGCAAATGCCTATGATCTAAGCCAGCTGGGACTAGGGGTAGATCATGGGGTAAAGACCTGCTGTGGGTACCTGCCTCTCTGTTTCTGTCTCTCTCTCTTTCTGTTTCTCTTTCATAAAAGAAAAAAAAATAAAAAAAAAAAAACTATTGAGTCAGCCCCATGACAGAGTATTTAAAGGAGCTAGATCCCACATGACTGACCATGGTTCAAATCCTGGTGCTACTGGCTTGAAAAACAAGCTGGTGTGTATGTGTGTGTGTGTGTGTGTGTGTGTGTGTGTCCAAAATCCCAACAGAGTGGAGAAATGGAGGGAAGGGATAGTATGTGTGCAACCTGACTATGCCCTTGGAAGGGAACTTTCTCTTTCTCTCTTCCTTTGTCTGTCACCTCTGTCTGGCTAGCACATGTACCCTCTGACAATTTACATACATAAATAAATTCTAAAAGTATCCACATCTGTTCAAATTCTGAAAATGTTTGAGTTAATATTTCTTGCTCTTCTTTTAGCATATCTTAAGCATTTATGGCACCAATAGTGGGAAAAGAAAAAAAAAAGTGTTGATAAACACCAAAGGAACTATGGATAAGGGAGAAGAAGCAGTATTTCACACTGCATTATCCAAGACAATAAAGATCTACAATGCTACATCCTACTGTATAATAAAAAGAGTCTTAAATTTTTTTTTCTAAAAATGTTGCTATGGAGCCCATATTCTTGCACACGTGTGAGAAAGAGAGAGAGAGAATGGGAATGTGAGAAAGCACCCTCTAGGAGGTTGGTTACACCACAACCCCTTCTCTTTCATTTTCTTTCTGGGACTTTGGGCACACACACACACATGCCTGACATGTTCAAGCCATCAGGTCCAGGACTGGAACTGTGAGGTCAACCATATTGGATCCAGCCACCTTAATCACCGTGCCACATGTTGGCCCACAAAAAAGTGACTTTTATGTAAGAGGCACAGACTTAATATTTCTGAAGCCTATGTACATCCACATCCTTGTAATATATTATGGAATAATCTTCAATACAATCACAAGAAATCAGGAACCATAGAGATTTCCATATTCTAAGATCACATACATTAAACTCTACCAGAATCCAATATAACAGTTGTTTTCAGTGACTTTTCATTTGCTCAATCGTTTTATAAGTAATTCTTGATTGCAGATTATGTGTTAGGATTATACTATATACAAAATAGTTGATGTAGAGTTCCTGACCTTAAAGAGTCTATAAAGTGTTAGAGAAAAATGTGTGTTAATCAAGTAGTCATATGTTGGAAGAGTCCGACCCAGTGGGGCCCCAAGATCTGTTTGAACCCCCTACCTTTGAGCACAGCTTGGGTCAACTCAGCATGTTGGCAAGGCCACTTGCTGTATGCTCCGGAGACTGTGGTAGCCTTGCTGGCAAGCGACTCCTCTCTGACTCCCTGATATACTACTATAAAAGGATTACATAGCTCTCTCATACATCTTGAGTATGTAATAAGATTTCCCGAAAGTCCCTCGACTGCTCCCCTTTGCCCTGACCACCTACTATTAATTGTAATGCTTCATCCCTGTGGTCACAATGGAGGGTGTGCTAAAGTTCCATCTAGGCAAAAATCTTCTTGACCTTTGAAGGGCCCTTCAAGACACATTTAACATAAGCTTAAAAATAACCTTTAGGCCGAAACTGGCCCAGGAACTCTTGCCCCACGGTAGCTAATGTTCTAACAAAATACATAACAGTGGTGCCACAGGCACAATAGAATGCTTAGGTATACCACAAACCCACTTTAAAATTCTTCATTAACTTGTTAGTCACTTTACCACCAGTTGAAAAAGCTGTTTAAAGTATTTCCACCCTCACCAAGTGAACAATAGCTTCACCCCTTTAGAATAGATAAATATATTAGGATTCCTTAAATTAAGTTTTAGATCCCTATAAAATTATATAAGTATCATTACTGAGATCCATAAGGACTAATACCTATACTTGAGATTTTCTTTTCTTAGCATCGTGCTCAGTAATCACAAGATGGCTGCTGCCACATCAGCTGATAATTATCTCTGCTTGCTAGAGCTGCTTTTCTGAAACTGCATTCCATGAAGACCTGCCTACATCAA